TAGGCTTAGGAGCCATAGCTTTAGTGGCTTAGTAGTTGAAGTTTAGGGTGGAAGGGGAATGTCGAGAGAGTTGCAAGGAGAAAAGGATGGTTTCACTATATGCTCAAGGGTACAAATATGAAAGAAGAGAAGAAAGGTGCACCACCTAACAAGAAAGATAACTACACTAAGTCTACATTGCAGGCAGTTATAAAGTGATGTATACAATTACATTCTGAGACACCCCCTAACTGCCTGCAGTGAAGAACCATGTGCAGAAACACCCCCGGAAGGGGTACACCAAGCAGAGCGCAGCAGACGGAGAGGGCAAGTGAGGAGGAGGAGGGACTATGAGAGGAGAGGAGGTGGTGGGCGGCAGCTGAAGCTGCTGGCACACGGCGCAACTGGAGCAACTGGCACACGGGCAACTGGAGCAACTGGCACACTGGCAACTGGAGCAACTGGCACACGGGCAACTGGAGTAACTGACTCCGCGGCTAGACGAGCGGCAGGAGGAACTGACTCACGGGCGACTGGAGCAATGGGCTCACGGGCGACTGGAGCGACGGGCTCACGGGCGACTGGCGCAACGGTCTCACGGACGACTGGAGCTGCTGACTTCACGGCGGCCACCTCCACTCAACCTCCCCTACCTGTCCCACACCCCTTTCACACCCCTTGCCGCACCCCTTGCCGCACCCCTAGTTTCACTCCCCCTCGGCTCCCACACATCCACCCCCCTTCAGCGGTAGCTGCAGCAGTGGGAGACGAAGTAGGAGGAGGAGGAGGGGAAGGGTAGCACCCACACTCAGCACCCCCACACCCGCCACCCCCATACCCTCCCCCCACGGCTGCACAGGGTCCAGGAGCGGCGTCGCGGGCAGCTGCAGGGTCGGCTGCTGCAGGGGCGGCTGCTCCAGGGGCCAGGGGCGGCTGCTGCAGGGGCGGCTGCTCCAGGGGCCAGGGGCGGCTGCTGCAGGGGCGGCTGCTCCAGGGGCGGCTGCTCCAGGGGCCAGGGGCGGCTCCTGCAGTGGCGGCTGCTCCAGTGGCCAGGGGCGGCTGCTGGTGCGGCTGCTCCAGGGGCCAGGGGCGGCTGCTGCAGTGGCGGCTGCTCCAGGGGCCAGGGGCGGCTGCTGCAGGGGCGGCTGCTCCAGGGGCGGCGTCGCTGGTGCAGGGCAGGCCCGCGCGTTGCTGCAAAGCAGGCGCGGGCGCAGGGGAGGCAGAGGCGGCGGCCAGGGGGGGGTGCGCCGCGAAGAGCAGGGACAGCGCCCCGCGGGTCCCGCAGGGGCGTCGCGACGAGCAGGAGCGGCGACGCACGGGTCCCGCAGGGGCGTCGCGACGAGCAGGAGCGGCGCCTCTGCAGGGCGCCGCGAAGGGCAGGGTACGGGCGGGCAGAACAGGCCCGCGCGCGGACAAGAAGACGCCGTGCGCCCGGGGCGCACGGCGGGCAGAAAACCGCCGTGCTCCCGGAGCACACGGCGGGCAGAAAATCGCCGTGCGCCCGGGCGCCCGAGGCGCGCGGCAGGATGACAGGCAGCGGAAGCATGGGCCCACAGGCCAGGAGTATAAATGCTCTGATAGCATGTGAAGATACTAAGTACAGCTAGGCTTAGGAGCCATAGCTTTAGTGGCTTAGTAGTTGAAGTTTAGGGTCGAAGGGGAATGTCGAGAGAGTTGCAAGGAGAAAAGGATGGTTTCACTATAGGCTCAAGGGTACAAATATGAAAGAAGAGAAGAAAGGTGCACCAGCTAACAAGAAAGATAACTACACTAAGTCTACATTGCAGGCAGTTATAAAGTGATGTATACAATTACATTCTGACAACATTCGCTTGGCCTCCGGATCCTCCGACCATCTTGGTCTTGGAGCGGGTGCCGCTCGCCAGATCTTGGTTCGGCGAATTTCACGGAAGTGAAGTTGCGAAGAATCCCTGAGTAGCTCTCATACCATGTTACAATCCCAAGTGGGACTTAGCGAAGGATCGCTCAGGGTTGACCGCAGAGTAGTATTGCAGCGGAAGTTTGAATTTTAGGTCAGAGTGAATGTAAATGACTGACTTGATAATAGCATGCATACATCGGGTTTTTATAAAAAAAACAAGGGAATACGAAAAGACCTAGACTAGCCATGTACTCTAAGGGGTACATTCCCTTATTACAGCAAATTCAAACCGTGCGGCGCGGGAACCCGTTTCAAACCTGTTCCCGCTCTTTTCACTTCAAATGTTTTTTGCCTGCATCGGTCTTGGTGAGACGGTTGCTGCGTCGCTTCGACTCTTCTGACTCCTCGACTTCGTACTCGGTAGAGTCGGCTCCTGCAACATACAGGAATGCCTTCTCATACAACTTCATGTCGTGACAGTCCCGAACGAGCGCTGAAATATTCATTGAATGTGACAATGTTTTCAGCATAGCTACTCGTACGTGAATTGTCCGAATTTGGGAAAGCATGTCAGAACTTGGTGTGTCAGGATTCGTCAATTTAATCTGGCGCGAGCGGGAAAAATCAGAATCAGGGTCATTTTGGGCGAGAATTTCATATAGTTGTCATTCGCGTGATCGCTTGCCAGTGTATGGTTACCAAACGCGTGAATTGAGTTACGAAACGCGTGAAAACACATTGTAATGGTTACCGTACGCGTTATTGAGCCCCATATATGTTACCATTCGCATATTTTCCTTTTTGTTTACCACGCGCAGAACACGCCCTCCCCCCAGACACCCCCCCCCCCTCTCTCCCCACCTCCCGGCACCGTTCGTCCTACCCTTGCCCTCTCTAATCCGAGACTCTCTACTTGCTCGAGTTAGTAGTGAGTCTTATTTGAATGAAAGACTTCCTTCTCCCAGCCGCAAATCCTTCTCCACCAAGATCTCTCAGCTCTCTCTCCCATCCTCTACCGCGTTTTCCTCCCACCCCCCCGTCGCCTCGCCCTCCCATCCCTCCATCGCCTCGCCCTCCTACCCCGTCATAGCCTCTCCCTCCCTTCCCGCCGTCGCCTCTGGTGGTTGCACGAGCGCGACCGCGGGTTGTTGCACGACCGCGCGTTGTTTTTTTAGGCACCGTGGTCTCAGGTGCGTTTCCGTTTCCCGGACCTTTTTTCCTCCCTCTTCCCTCCGAAATTCCCTACTGTTTTTCTACTTTCTTCGTGTGCCGATTGGTCTCCTCTTGCATTGCGCTCTAATTTGAAGAAGGGGAGAGTGCGCACGGGAGCGAGCACGCAGGAGCGCTGGCGCCTAGCGCGCTGGCGCCTATCGCGCTGGCGCCTAGCGCGCTGGCGCCAAACGTGCTTGCACCTAGTCTGGCGCCTAACGCGCTGGCGCCTAACGCGCTGGCGCCTAGCGCGCTGGCACCTATCGCGCTGGCGCCTAACGCGCTGGCGCTTAACGCGCTGTCGCCTAGCGCGTGGCGCCTAGCGCGCTGGCGCCTAACGTGCTTGCGCCTAGGCTGGCGCTTAACGCGCTGGCGCCTAACGCGTTGGCGCCTAGCGCGCTGGAGCCTTAAGCGCCCGCGCCTTAGGAATTGGCGAGTCCTCCTTAGTCTTCTTGTGCTTGAGCCTAAGGCGCTGACGCCCATGGCGCGGGCCTTGTTGACACTGTCGCCGTGGGCGAGGAAATGAGGGGGAGAAGGCAGGGAGGGAGTTAGAGAGTTAGAGACGGGTGGGGGGGGGGGGGGGGGGGAAGAGAGAGGGGGGAAGGAGGAGAATTTGAGTTCCAGAAAAGAGGGAGGTTTTTAACTGGAATTTGTCTTAATCGAAGCTTTGGGCGTCGTCGCCTATCGCATAACCGCCTAAGGCGCTTGCTTGGAACACTCTTTCACAGGGAAATGACGCCTCAGTCGCTGGCGCTTGGGCGCTGGTGGTGCCTAGGGCGCTTGCATAGGACGTTGGCCCCTGGCGCTCTGGCGCCCAGAGCGCAAGGCGTGGCGCCGGTGCATAAGGCACTATATCTAGCGTGCTGGCACGTTGGTGCATAAGGCACTATATCTAGCGTGCTGGCACGTTGGTGCATAAGGCACTATATCTAGCGTGCTGGCACGTTGGTGCATAAGGCACTATATCTAGCGTGCTGGCACGTTGGTGCATAAGGCACTATATCTAGCGTGCTGGCACGTTGGTGCATAAGGCACTATATCTAGCGTGCTGGCACGTTGGTGCATAAGGCACTATATCTAGCGTGCTGGCACGTTGGTGCTAGTGCCTAGGACAATGGCGCTTTTCTGTGCTAACGTTTGAATGCTGTGCTGGTGCCTACCATGTTGTCGCCTATGTCGCTTGCACTCAAGCGCGTGTTTCTAGTGCAATTGTGGTGCGTGAGCCATTGTGTTAATTATCTGTATGCATCTGAGCTTGCTTGTACGTGTGCTTGTGTGTCTGTTTGTGTGTCTGTTTGTGTGTGTGTGTGTGTGTGTGTGTGTGTGTGTGTGTGTGTGTGTGTGTTTGTGTGAGTGTCTCAATGCGTGCAAGTGTGTATTTGTCTGTTTGTACCACTTGTACCTGTTTTGAGTTGTGGTGCTCAAGTGCCGCGTAAATGCAGCCTAGGTTGTGATCTTTGTGGGGGCCGCTTTGCTCGCCTTAGCGTTCCAGACCAACCTCTGTTGCATCATCATAGATGCATTGTAGCATTCACCTTGGAACATTCATGATTGTTGAGCATTGTCGTATTGAGTTTGCGAATGGTCGTTTGTGGTCTATCTCATGGTTCTGAAATGATAGTCCCATTCTTCCATTCGTCGTAGTTATCGGCGATTTTGGAATGATTGGGCTGTACATTTGGTTTCACTCATTAGGGGCATTCTTGTGGACAGTGATTCTCTTTTCCGCTGCTTGGGGGCACCCCTCAATTTAAAAGAGTGCTCCAAAGCAGAGAAAAGGACAAAAAATCACTGTTCATATGAATCGATCGAACCAATTGTATAGGGTTGCTAGTAGACATGAGCAAGGTACCCAATAATCCTATAAGTCAATTTTTTTCTTCCTCCACTCCCGCGCCGCGACCTACCTGCCTACCCGACATCACCTCAGCTTGCGTCGCGCCTGATCAACGAGCTTCCACAAATAATACCGTTCAACGAAGCGTAACTCACGCCATGATTCGCGGGACGTTGGCCGGCTCACTGTCGGTAGTCCTCTTCGTTGCGCTCGCCACGGTTTACGGACCGAATCTGTCGCACAGGTACGGAGGACCGAGGGCATCTTATGTCCTTGATACTAATTATGACATTAGAATTTTCAGTAATGGGGTGTGCGTGCGTTCACGTAATTTCCTTATATATCAAGAATGCGCCTATTGTCTTTCAACCCCGTCTGGTGTTGTCTTTCGAAAACACCTTCTGCGTCAGAACATCAAGGTAACTAACAAATAATAGCAGCAGCGACTCTGACGTTTTCTCCTCTCAGGAGCTCCTGACACTGCGTGCTCTGTCCCTCCCTCCCTCCTTTTCTCCCACCCTTTCTCCCCCCCACATGCATGCATGCATTCTCGCCATGCCATTGTTTCTCCCAAACCCGCGTCCTGCCCTTTCCAGACTCACGTCTTCAAGCAGCAGCAGCAGCAGCAGCAGCAGCAGCAGCAGCAGCAGCAGCAGCAGCAGCAGCAGCAGCAGCAGCAGCAGCAGCAGCAGCAGCAGCAGCAGCAGCAGCAGCAGCGGCGGGGCAATGGGCTGATTCGATTTTGTTCCACCACCAACCCTCTCTTTCTTCCTCATGCATGCGTCCGTTTCTCTCTCTCCAACCCGCGTCCTGTCCTTCCAGACTCACGTCTTCAAGCGGCCGCATCAGCGACTGTGACGTTTGTTCTTCTCAGGAGCTGCTGACACTGCGAGCTTTGTACCAAGGTGAGATGTACTGTACTATGCCCCAGGTAAGCAATACTGGCCGTTCTGTGTTGCAGATTGAGCCGAACACTTGGTGAAGGCGACGCACACGCGAGGTGCTGGTGTTTCCGCTTTCTTGTTGTTCTCTTCCCTTGGCAGCTTCGCCCTTCATTTATGCTGTTCAAACGAGTTCAGAATATTGTCTTTCTGTGATTCTGAGTTGGGCTGCCTCAGAAGTCACAAGCCAATCGAATTGTATCCTCACTTGTACACAAACGAGCTGCAACAAATAGTGTTACTCAGATGATTCTGTCCGTTCTTCCGAATTCTCCATCCACAGAACATCAGGCAGCCTTGGAGCGTGAAAAGGGCAGCAGCAGCAGCAGCAGCGTTGGGAATGCTGACATCAGCAACCCATCCGCTGCTGTCAGCAGCGGCCCTGGTGCCGACCCTAAGGAAGATGCTGACGTCGTCAGTGTGCCTGCTACCACCGAGGTGGACCCCCTGCCAGCGCATGCTGACGTCAGCAGCCCTCGGCGCGGCCGGTCGCTCCTGGCCGTTGATCCTGACGATCCCGATCTGACGACCGACGACATCCGGAACCTGTGCCACGAGAAGGACAAGGAGCTGCTGAAAGCGTCGAGGCTGCTCAAGGACCTGGATGTGCGTGCGGAGCCTGTGGGGGGATGGTTGGGAGGAATGGGTGGGGGTGGGGTAGATGGCAGCGTGTGTGCCACGAGAAGGACAAGGAGCTTCTGAAGGCGTCGAGGCTGCTCAAGGACCGGATGTGCGTGCGCTGTGCGGGTCATGTGCCGTGAGATTAAAAGGGGGAAGGGTTGGGGAGGGGGGAGGGGAGCGGAACCTGTGGCATGAGAAGGCCAAGGAGCTTGTCGAGGCTGCTCAAGGACCTGGATGTGCGTGCGCTGTGATGTGCGTGCGCTGTGATGTGCGGATCATGTGTGCGTGCATGCGTGTGTGAGTGGGTGGGTGGGTAGGGATGAGCAAGTGGCGAACACGAACGTGTTCGTGTTCGCCCCTACACGAACACCTTCGTTTGCCGAACCGAACACTGTTCGGTTCGGCGAACACTTTGAGCAAAAAATGGTGTTCGCCGTTCGCCTGTGAAGGCGTGTTCGGGCGAACCTCGAACACTGTTCGTGTTCGTCGCGGGCAAATTGCAGCAGCGGCCCGAACACGAATGTGTTCGGGCGAACATCGAACACTGCTCGGCGAACATTTTAAGCCAAAAAAAAAAACCTGTTCGGTTCGCCTCGAACAGGTGTTCGTTTTTTTGCTCAACCCTATGGGTGGGTGGGTGGGTGAGTGAGTGAAGGGTAGAGGAAGGGGACGATGACAACCTGAGGCATGAGAAGGGCAAGGAGCTTCTGAAGGCGTCGAGGCTGCTCAAGGATCGGATGTGCGTGCGCTGTGAGCAGTGGGCAACTCGTGTGTGTGTGCATGCGTGGATGTGTGAGTTGGTGGGTGGTTGGGGGGAGGAGGGTGGGGGGATCGGAACTTGTGCCATGAGAAGGACAAGGAGCTTCTGAAGGCGTCGAGGCTACTCAAAGACCTGGATGTGAGTGTGAATGTAGCATGAGGTGATTGTAGCATGAGGTGATTGTAGCATGAGGTGATTGTAGCATGAGGTGATTGTAGCATGGGGTGATTGTAGCATGAGGTGATTGTAGCATGAGGTGATTGTAGCATGGGGTGATTGTTGTATCTCAATCAGATGCTGCACACTAGCAAGGAGTTCCCTGGCCGCCCACATTGCTGCACTCTGCCCTTTTCCCTTTGCACACACCTGCACATCGCTTGACAGCGGCAGCACATGGAGGCTACGTTGGCAGATACGAGTATCACGTATAATACGCTAGCGTATTATACGCTGGGTATATACGCGGTACGCCAGGGGTGGTGTACTGGTGATACGTAAAAATACGCTGGGCGGGCAGGTAAAACTTTTTCCCCGGGCAGGGCCTGTTTCAGGGAGGGGGTTATGTTTCCCAAAAACACATGTCATTATTTAATTTCATAAAAATCCAGAAATACATCTTTGGGGCTACTTCTCTTCTCCCCACCCCATACATCCCCACCCCACCCTCTAGCTAGCTTCCCCACAGCCGAGTTCCTTGCGGGGCTTTTCCAACACCACCCCTGCCCGCAGTGAACAGAGGCAACATTGCTTGTCGCAGCAGGAGGGGTGGAGTTAGACGCCATGACGAAAAACGGGAGAAGAGAGCTACGGGAATGAAAACGACCACGGAGACTGAATGACACAAAGGAACTCGTCATCCATTATATGAGCAGACGAGTTGCTGAACAGCATTTGAGAGGGATGGTTGGAGATGAGAGGTTTGGTGGGGTGGTGTGTGGTTGGGGTGGTGGGAGGTTTGGAGCTCGAAATTTGAATTTCAGAAGTGGGTTGGGCGATGTGCGACTTCGCGGTAACATGTCGCGAAGTGGCAAAACCTTCGCAAAATTTTTCAATTTCGATTTTTTTTTTTCGACGGGCTGCCCGGGCGTATTTTCAAGAAATACGAGAGTATTAGCGTACCACGTACATACGCAAGCGTATATACGTGGTACGCAACCCTGCCCAAGGCGTATCTGCCAACGTAGCATGGAGGTGGACAATCTCAGCAAGAGGCTGCACATGAGGGGCTGAGGGGCCTTCATTCCTCCCCTCACTCCTCTCCTCAACAAGATGCTGCACATGAGGGAGGACAAGGAGTTCAAAGCCGAGCAGCTGACACACTGACGGACTTGTCCCTCCGCTCCGCCCTTCCGTCCGTCCCCTTTCCTCCCCTCTCCACCCCATCCCCACGCACATGCACTTTGGTTCTCCTCCCGTCACAGATCGCCCTGCAGCGGCAGTACATGGAGGTGGACAAGCTCAGCAAGATGGTTGCTATGAGCAGGGAGTTCAAATCAAAGTGGAGGAGCTGATAGACTTGCTCCCCTCCCCTGCCCTTCCCTACTCCCCTCCCATTCCCGCCCGCCCACATACACACATTCCCCCACCCCCACTCACGCGCACAGATTGCCCTGCAGCGGCAGTACATGGAGGTGGACAATCTCAACAAGATGCTGGACATGAGCCGGGAGTTTAAAGCTGAGGAGCTGAGAGACTTCCGCGGGCAGGAGCAGAAGGCGGGCGGGGTGAGTGGTGCCTGGGGGAGAGGGCTTGAGGGAGTGAACGAGAAAGGGACATGAGAGTTCAAAGCGGGGAGCTGAGGGGCTTCCGAGGGCAGGCGCAGAAGCTGGGGGGGGAGGGGGGGTTGGGGGCGGGGGGGCTTGAGTGGTGTCTGGGGGAGATCTCGGATTTGAGGGAGTGAGAGAGTGAGGGAAATAAGGGAGGAGTTTAGGGTGGAGGTGGAGGAGCTGAAGGATTCCCGGGGACATGGGCGGTAGTCAGGTGGGGTTGGTTTGATTGGTCTGATCGGATCAGGGTGCCAATGAGTGTTTCTGTGAAACATTGAACTTGGCGTACGCATGACATTTAGTGTCCAACCAAAAAGCTAAATATTATGGGAATTCTTGTTTGCATGCAATGTTGTTGTGTTTTGTTAGTGAACTCCCCCCCGTTCGCCTCCACTAGACCACTTTCCACTTGCCACCTTTTTTTTTCTTTTTTTTTTCTTTTAAACTCTTTCCTTTTTCTTTCCTTCTTCTGCTCTCTTGATTTGACTACGTCTTCTTTCCCCCAGTAATCTGAAAGTTCTCCTGAAAGCACGTGCCACACATGCACCTATCATCAGCACGTGCGGGCCAGCCATTTATCAATCTGCCCCCCTCTTACTTACAGCTTCCCCCTCTTACTTACAGCTGTATTACCTGCATGTACCACCCTTGACTACCATATGCATGCTGCCATGCCAGATGTCGGAGAAGACTCGCGAGTTCCTGGAGCAGTGCAAGAACAACCTCGTTACAGAGTACACCTCTAAGGAGAACAAGGACTGGGCCATCTACAAGGTGTGTGTGTGTGTGTGTGTGTGTGTGTGTGTGTGTGTGTGTGTGTGCGTGCGTGCGTGCGTGCGTGCGTGCGTGCGTGCGTGCGTGCGTGCGTGCGTGCGTGCGTGCGTGCGTGCGTGCGTGCGTGCGTGCGTGCGCGTGCGTGCGTGCGCGTGCGTGCGTGCGTGCGTGTGTGTGTGTGTGTGTGTGGTTGTGAAGTGTAATGGAGTTTAGTGTAGGTGCTGATTACTCATATGCAGGACACTGGGTTTAGTTCATGCTCTGGCCGTTTTTTCCACCACCGCCCCTTCGTCAGTTGATAAAAAAACCATTACCGCCTCCACCCTCCTCCCTCCTCTGACTTCCCCCATTTCCTTGGTTCTCCTCCCTTCTTTCTTCACCTTCACTCTTTCCCCCCTTTCAGTCTTCCTCCTCTTCTCCCCCTTTCCTTTTCTGACTGGGGTCGAGTCTCGTTCATGTTGCTCCTTCTCTTTTGGTGATCTCCTCTCCCCACCACCAGGACTGTGCCTGTGTGGGGCAAGGGATGAGGGAATAGCACAGCACAGTACACGAGCTACGAGCTGAGGGGGCTGTGTCACTTGTCCCCCCCCCCCATCCCACCCACCCCCCTCTCCATCGTCTCTCTCCCTGCGTTCTGTCCTTCAAACCACTCAGGGCTACACGTGTGAGGAAACGGATGAGGAGATAGCACAGTACATGAGCTACGAGCGGAGGGGACTGTGTCCCGACGACTGGTTCTTCAACCCACCCCTCCCCTCCCCACCCTCAACCTCGTTCTGTTTATGTTGTCTCTTTTTCTTCCCTTCCCTCTCAGGGGTACGCGTGTGAGGCAACAGAAGAGAAGATAGCACAGTACATGAAATACGAGCTCCGGGGGCTGTGTGCCTTTCGCACATCTCTTTTTTCCTCTATTCTCCTTCTGTTCCTTGTCTTCCAGGGCTACGCGTGTGAGGCGACGGACGAGGAGATAGCACAGTACATGAGCTACGAGCTGAGAGGGCTGTGTCCCGACGACTGGTTCTTCGTGCAGCATCTCATCTTCGTGAAGAACTGCTACGCTCTGCCCAAGCGCCGCTGCCTTGCACGCACTCCCCAGGAATTCATAGAGGTAAGGGTGTGTGCGAGTGCTGCTGCCGATGTTGCTGGCTGCTGCTGATTTCCCCACGATTGATTTTTCGTGCAGCACAGCACCTCATCGTTAGTCATGGGCAACGGGTCGACCAGACCCGACCCATACCCGTTTAGGATGACCCGTGACAGGTACGGGTACGGGTCGGGTCGACCCGCGGGGGGCCGACCTGGCCATTTTTATTGACCCGTCCTGTATATACATGTACGGGTCGAATGTGACCCGTAGCGGGTTGGGTTAATCCGTATACAGGTCGGGTATCAATGACCCGCATGTACCGGCACACTTCTATGCAGCTCCGCGCGCTGCTCTCTGCAGTGGACACGCGCTGGTCTATGCAGTGGCGTGCGGCTGCTGATGCACCGGGATAATGCAATCTATTGCTGGTGTAGGGCGGAGTGCCTTGATTTAGGCAATGAATTAAGCTACCTCATCTAAATTTGTGCCGGAAAGATGCTGCCTGTCACACCCTCCCCAGAAATGTATTGACATGAGTCCAAAGGTGCTGCTCTTAAATCATGCAGAGGAAGGTGTGTGTGTGTGTGTGAGTGTGTGCATGTGTCTCTCGACGACGGTTCTTCGTGCAACGCCTCACCTTCGTCAAAAGCTGCTACCTGTTGCCGCCAAAGAGGTGGTGCCTTGTTTGCACTCCATGTGGCATGAGCTCATCTCATTTGGGAGTTGACTTCAAATCAAAGTCACGACTCACCTGGTTACCACTTCACCACCGGCCTGCCAGTCACCCTACTCCCCTGTATTTTCCCCTCTCTTTCCCAGCTGATACTTATAATGTCCTCATACCTTCCTCCTCTGCGACTAGATCTCTTTTCCACCTTCACTATCCCCTTTCTCCTCCCAGCCTCTCCCACGCTCCCAAGCGCTTCTCGTTTCAACCTGAGGGGCATTGCACGATGATCCTCTAATATCTCCTCTCTTCCTTTCCACATCATCCTTCCCTCTCGACCCTCTCTACCCTTTCGACTTTCTTCCAACCCCCCCCCTCCCTTTCTCCCATGCGCTGTTAACCAGAGGGAACTGCATGATGGGATAGTGAGGTGCATTCACTCCGTCATCCTCTGAACCTCTCTCCGTTCCATGCTCCCCTGTATCCTCCCGCCCGCATCCCTTTTTGCCCAGCCTGCCTCTTGCTTGCTCCCACGTGCTCGTCATCCAGAGGGCGTTGCACGATGGTGCAGTGAGGTGCGCGATGGTGCAGTGAGGTGCACGATGGTGCAGTGAGATGCACGATGGTGCAGTGAGGTGCACGATGGTGCAGTGAGGTCCATGATGGTGCAGTGAGGTGCAACCATCTTCTAACCCTCTCTCTCGCTTTCCCCGTTTATTCTTCTCTCTCTCGCCCCTCCTCCAGACCCTCCTACGCTCCCATACGCTTTTCAACCAGAGGGCGTTGCACGGCGGGGCAGTGAGTTCCATTGATCACGGCGGGGCAGTGAGGTCCATCGATCTGGTGATCCTCTCATCTCTCCGCTCCTTTCCTACATCCACCCCTATACCCTCCACTCCACTGTCTCGCTTCTTCTCCCAGCCCCTCCCACGCTCGCACGCGCTCTTCAACCAGAGGGCGTTGCACGATGGGGCAGTGAGGTGGAGCCACCACGGGTGCAAGTCCTTTGACTGCCTCAACCACCGCACTGCAGGCGAGTGTGCTTAGAACCGACGGCCTAATGGTGGCAAGGGAACAATGGGATTTTCCAAAGCTTCTTGAGGGTTTGGACTGTATGCGAAGGTTCTTGTTATTGATGCTGGATGAATCATGGGGAGAGCGCAGTGAGGTGGAGTCATTACGGGTGCAAGTCGTTCGACTGCTTCAACCACAGGACCACAGGCGAGTCACGAGTGTGCTCATAACGATGGCAGAACCGAGTATTATGAAATCCGCGGTGGTTCCTAGTTTGAGGGTTTGGTTGGTTGGTTGTATTATGAGAGCAGGGCAGGATGTGTGGGGCGCTTTGAGAACACTCAAATGCAGAGTGTGAATAATTTAGATTGAAGTTGTTGTCTGACTTGCATTGCAAGAGTGGGAGGGCGCAAGGGCCATAACCCCAAGCAGGAGTGGGAGGGAATCTCGGCAAGTTTGGATTGGAGGCGAACCGGTGGAAGGCGAAGCACCTCGCATGGATTATGCATGCATCCCAAGAGAGCTGTGAAGATGATTTCACCTCTCCCTTCCCCCGCCCTCCCTCCCTCCCTCCGTCCCTCCCCACATCCCTCCCCTCCCCCCCCCAGGCGATTGCAGGAGCTGCTTCAACATGACTCTTGAGGCGAACTGGTGGAAAGTGCAATATCGGGGAGCACTCACCATCAAGGGCGTTGTTAGCCTCACGAAAGGCTTTGTGCCTCCTGATGCTCCACGCAGGCACAGGCACGGGCAGCCTCGCGACTCACTCACTCTCCCCCTCTCTCTCTCCCACACACTCTCCCTCTTTGTCATTTCCCGCCACCCCCCCTTCCGTCCCCCCTTCTCAGGCGATTGCAAGAGCTGTTAAACATGACTCTGGAGGCAAACCGGCGGAAGGTGAAGCACTCTCACTCTCAAGATACTCACTCTTTGTCCCTCACGCAAACACGGACACATTTCCCCCTCCCCTTCCCCTTCAGTCGCCTGCAAGAGCTGCTTCAACATGACTCTCGACGCGAACCGGTGGAAGGTGAGGCACCTCCCCATGCATAGGGAGCTGGATGCACCTCTGTATCCCCACCCCCTCGCCCCCCCTCCCCCTCGCCCTTCAGGCGACTGCAAGAGCTGTTTCAACATGACTCTGGAGGCGAACCGGTGGAAGGTGAGGTACCGTGGAGCACTCACCATCAAGGACGTGGTGACCCTCAAGAAGGGCTCCCTGCGCCTGGGGCTCGACGCCGGGCGAGGCACGGGCAGCTTCGCGGCGCACATGGCACGATACAACGTGACGGTGATGACGATGGCGATGAACATTGAGACGCGGTCGGGTGTGCACACTGGCCTGCCGTACATGGAGACGATTGCGCTGAGGGGGCTGGTGCCCCTGCACATCCCACACACGGTATGTGAATGTAATTGCCTACTTTAGATTGTGAAAGTAATTGATATCAGAGAGCAAGAACGATCAGGAGGAAAGCACGAATAAAATCGAGAAATACATGTAGTTCCAATGCACTTCACAGACACGCAATGTTAGCATGCACTGGAATATGTTCAAAATATGCAGCTCCTCCCATTTCCTCCACCTCCACATTTCAATCTGCAGGCTTGACTGCCCTTCTTTGACAACACTCTCGACCTCATGCACTGTGCCAACAGCGGAAAATACCTCTTTAAGCTCTATAACGGACTCCTCTTGTGCCACCCTCTTGTGTGGCTCTTCTTTTATCTCCCTCCCCTTCCACAGGCCCGCCTGCCTTATTTGACAGCACTCTCGACCTCGTGCACGGCGTCAACAGCGTCAAATAAATGTCGAAGCTCTAAAGTAGACTCCCTCTGTGTCCTCTCCTCCCCCTGTGGTCGTCTCACACGCCCATCTGCCCTTGTGTGACAACAAGCGCGGCGTCGTGCACTGCGTCAACAGCACCAAGGGAACCTAATGAGGCAACCTTACCAGCTTTTCTGTCCCCTCCTCTGCCCCTCTGCGTGTGTCTCCCATGTCTGTCAGGCGCGCCTGCCCTTCTGTGCCAACACGATGGACCTCGTGCCACTCAAGGGCGTCAAGGTGACTTTTGAGTCGACTCAAAAGTCACCTCGTTACAATGACACATGGCACACGATGGACCTTGTGAAGGCGTTTCAGCACGTACCTGTGCACCTAACTCTGCTCCTCCTTGTGTGCTCCGCAGGCTCGTCTGCCCTTCTTTGACAACACGCTCGACCTCATGCACTGCGTCAGCAGTGTCGAGTACCTCCCTTTGGCCGAGTTAGAGCATATAACCAAGTGTTCCTTTTCCCCTGCACCCCTCTGCACATACCCTCCTCCCGCAGGCCCGTCTGCCCTTCTTTGACAACACATTGGACCTCGTGCACTGCGTCAACAGCGTCAAGTACCTGCCACTGGGCGAGTTTGAGGACCTGCTGTACGAGTGGGACCGGGTGCTGCGAGTCGGTGAGTTATTGCAACCCTTCAGTGCCTGGTAGCCGACATCTTGATACGGCTTCTAATGCATCTAGCAGCCAGTGCCTTCCCCTTGGGCGAGTTGAGGGCCTGCTGTACGAGTGGGTTCGGGTGCTGCGAGTCAGTGAGTTCCTTCACTGGTTATTCACTGCACCTCTAAGGGTGGTGTGCTGTAGTGTGTACCTCCCAGTGGGCAAGACTGAGGACCTGTTGTACGAGTGGGACCGCGTGCTGCAAGTCAGTGAGTTTGCTTATTCACAGTACGTTTCTCTGGTGCTCATACAACAAGCACCTTCCTCAAGGCGAGTGTGAGGACCGCACTCATGCTCCCTACTGTCTCGTGCCTGAATGTCCTCTGCTCCTCTCTTGCCTTTCTTCTACACCCCCATTCGGTGTTGTTCGTAGCTGACCTTTTACCATGTGTTTCTCGTACATGTCTTGTGCGCAGGTGGTGTCTTGTGGTTTGAGCTTTTCTACGCGCCAGAAGACGAGATGAAGATATACATTCAAATTGTGGATCTTCTACAGTACAACAAGCTTTATTGGAACATCACATCCAAGCCTGAAAAGGACCCCAAAGCGGTTCAGCGTGTCTATCTCAATTGCCTTCTAGAGAAGCCCCCTCGCATTGATTAGGTACTGTAATCCCCTGGACATGAGACCCTAGAAAAAATATGGGGAGAGGAAGGGGAGGGTGGGAGAGGGAGAGAGCGGGGAGTGGGGGAAGGGGGAAGGGGGGGGGGGGGGGGGGGGGGGGGGGGTGGGGGGTTCCTAATAAAGGAAAGAATTTTGGAACTCCTGGGCGTTTGCACATGGTAATTTTTTTTGGGGGGTGTCCTGAACACTAAAGTTAATTTTGAAGTTGGAGGTTGGCTTTTGGTGAGCACACAGCCAGTGCAACGTTCTTCACTTAGAATGCTGCCAGGTGGCTCTTTGGTGGTGATCACGCAGTACGGGAAGGGTGGGAATCCAGCACGATCTCAGCTGTAAAATCTGTTGCCAGCTTGTGAATCTGTAAACTCATTGGTCTTACCGTACATTGATCACCGCTCAAAGGGGGGAATAATGAATGCGGCGTGCAGGATGCGGCGAATGCTCGCGCTAGCATGCCAGCAGCTGGGTGTATGCTGGATGGCTGGCGACAGACTGGCCTGGCGTGCATTGGCGCACTGGCGGCTGGCACGCTCTGCGTGCTGGCCGGCCCAGGGTGTTGGGGGGGGGAGGGGGAGGGAGGGAAGGAGGGGGTTGTCAGAATAACTGTGCAGAAATAATTGGATTAGCAAGAGTTGGGGTACAAGTACTACCGTATTACCCCGGATATAAGCGCACCTGCGCTTATAATAAAGCAGTGTTTTTTAGGGGGGTGCGCTTATAATTGAGTAAAAAATATAAGCGCATGCGCTTATAAAGTGACAAATACAAATTTATATTCTTACTGCACCAAATTATACATCCCCTTCTTGCGGTTTCAATCGAAGCGCAATGATAGGGGGTCACAACTCAGAATCGTACGCGGGCAATTTTCTGCCGACGCACAGGGGCAGTTACACGTCATTGCGCAGGAATTCCAGCTCATAGTGACTGGACGCGCAGGATGTAAGGTCCTCGCGAATCAATCGAACAGAAATTGGTGTGACCTCGCTGCAAATTTGAAACTCGTTACCGTTTCAAGCAAGTTCAAAAAATAGTATTATACATGCGCTTATAATAAGTCAGGGTTTTACAGGGGGTGCGCTTATAATTGAGGATCGACCATAAGCGCATTGCTCCAGATAGAAGCACATGCGCTTTTAATAGGCCTGCGCTTCTATCCGGGGCCATACGGTAACCCTAGAAGTGCTGTACCCTATAACGAGTGTCCCGCTATAGCCTACAAATTGTACTTTGACACACCCCCATAGGCTAAATGGGGGACCACAAGATGGTCACAAGACCAGTCAAGCAAGACAACAGAGCAAAGCAAAGCAAAGCTCAGGGTGGATCTCAATTACACTAAACAATCCGAGCACAAGGAAGCGGCCACAAGGCCAGTTCACATGCAGAGTTATAATAGCAAGACAGTACACTGATTACAACCTAGCAAGAGGAAACATGGAGGTATAAATATAGATATCAGTGTACAACAAGTGCAAGTTCAAGAGACAAGCAGGTGAGGTAGAACGGGCAGAACTCCAAGAGCAGCGCAAAAACGCTGAAGATCACGAGACCCGAGGGCCTTGGTGAAGACATCAACAGTGTTGGCCCGAGAGGCCACGTAGAAAAGACGAAGCTGACCACGCTACTGCAGCTCTCGAGCAAGAAAGTAGCGAAGAGCAATGCGCTTCGTTTAATGCTCCAGTCTCTGATCCCGACACAAGGCAAGCATGGCCTTGTTGTCGACGTACAGAACTGGAGGAGAACGAGGCCGCTCCCCCAAGTCGTTCTGCAGGTAGGTCAGCCAGCGTAGCTCCTGTGCAGCCATGGCCCCAGCGCAGATCTCAGCCTCACAGCTGGAACCAAGCACAGAAGAAGAACGAGTGGACTTCCACAAGATAGAACCAGAGCCAAGACTGAAGGTGTAACCCTGTGACGAACGCTGAGTCGCCTGGTCGTCGGCCCAAGAAGCGTCGGAGTGTCCTGTGAGTACCACTGAACCCTGTCCTCCAAGCACGAGCCCCATGCCCGATGTACTGCACAAGTAACACAGTACACAGTTCGCAGCATCAAAGTGCACCTTTCGGTGTCTACCGGGAGCCACGTAGCGAGTCAGGAGGCTGAAAGGGTACGCGAGGTCAGGTCGTGTGCACGTCATCAGGTACACGAAGCAACCCACAAGCTCTGGGTACGGACCTCTCGCCTCTACGGACTCGTCCGAAGATGGAGCTTAGAGCGAGTGGTCGGTAGACAGAGGAGTGGGCTGTGGCAAGGAGTACTGGAAGCCGAAGCGTCGAAGGACCTGGTGCACCATGTATGACTGAGTCAGGGTGATGGTGCGCCGTGCTCTGTCCCGGGCGATCTGCAAGCCAAGATAGCTACGCAGTTCACCCAGGTTAGTGCAGTTGTGTCTCTCCTACAGCTTCGCCTTCACTAGGGCCAGCGCCTCTGTGTTAGCAGTAGCGAAAACCAAGTCGTCAACGTACACGAGAACGTAGAATGGCGGCAGGGTAGTGTCGGTGCGTAGAAACAGCGACGGGTCAGAAGAGGAAGGAGCAAACCCAAGAGCCACAAGTGTAGTCCTGAGTGTGTCGTGCCACTCTCGGGGCGCCTGGCGGAGACTGTAGACTGGCCGCCGGAGGCTCCACTGGGTACCCAGAGGAAACGATCCAGTGAAGGGGGCTGCTCGCGGGCAGTAGGGCGCGACGCGCGGGGCTGCTCGCGGGCATCAGGGGCGCTCGGGGCAGGGGCTGCTCACAGGGCGCGACGTGCGGGCTGCAGCAGGGCGCGACGCGCGGGGCAGCAGAGCGCGACGCGCGGGCTGCCGTAGGGCGCGACGCGCGGAGCAGCCGAGCGCGACGCACAGGCTGCAGCAGGGCGCGACGCGCAGGGCAGCAGGGCGCGACGTGCGGGCTGCAGCAGGGCGCGACGCGCGGAGCAGCAGAGCACGACGCGCGGGCTGCAGCAGGGCGCGACGCGCGGAGCAGCAGAGCACGACGCGCGGGCTGCAGCAGGGAGTGACGCGCAGGACAGTAGGGCGCGAGCCCTGCAGACGCAACCCTGCAGACGGGGCGCGCTGGGGCAGGAGCTGCTCGCAGGTAGAAGGGGCGCGCAGGGCAGGGGCTGCTCGCGGGCAGCAGGGGCGCCCGGGGCAGGGGCTGCTCGCGGGCAGCAGGTGTGAGGATCTAGGATCGAGCTCAGAAAAGAGAATTGTAATTGAATGATCTCCTGGGTACAACACGAGGCTATATATAGGCTCGACACAAGGCCCCGTAACCAGGTGTTACGCGAAGGTTCCGCGGGTCGCGAAGCGTCCCGAACAGATCCTTCCCGAATTCGGTAGAAGGCAATTCGGTGGCAACCGAAAAGCCAGAATTCGGTGCACGCAACCTAGCTCGGTGCTATAACTATAATAAAATATAGGAAAGCACCTAGCCTAGGAAATCAAGCAATTCATGCATGCATATAATTATCCTATGCTAGAAATAGCATGATAAAGTAAAGGCAAGCAAGCATAGCTGGCATAAGCCGTCGTACTCTCACACGTCCCCCCCTCAAAGCTGGGTGGCGTGAGATACACCCTGCTTGACAAGATAGTCCTTGAGAGCACGGCGTGCGTGTCAGATTTATATGACAGAGCTACTGTAGGCTATAGTGGGGTAGCACATATAGGGTACAGTTTTCTAGGGTTTGCATTTTGTACCCAACTTTCCCTTAGTCATTTCATTCCTTGTTTCTTCTCATGGTATCGAGCAGGTTCCCTCGTGGGAACTGTTCCTAGGGCCCACCGTTTTTTTTTTTTTTTTCCTGCCCGGAGCGCACTCAGCCCCTGCCCGAGTCGCGCTCCCCTCTCTCGCGCCGCCCTAGCGGCCCCTTCGCGCCGCCCTCGCGGCCCCTTCGAGCCGCCCTCGCGGCTCTGTCGCCCCACCCTCGCGACCCCGCGGCCCCACCCTCGCGGCGCCGGCCGCCTCCCTTCGCGGCCCCGATCCGCCGCCCTCGCGGCCCCCCCCCCCCTACTCCGCCGCCCTTCGCGGCCCCCGATCCGCCGCCCTCGCGGCCCCGATCCGCCGCCCTCGCGGCCCCGCTCCGCCGCCCTCGCGGCCCCGATCCGCCGCCCTTCGCGGCCCCGATCCGCCGCCCTCGCGGCCCCTACTCCGCCGCCCTCGAGGCCCCGATCCGCCGCCCTTGCGGCCCCGATCCGCCGCCCTCGCGGCCCCTACTCCGCCGCCCTCGCGGCCCCTACTCCGCCGCCCTCGCGGCCCCGATCCGCCGCCCTCGCGGCCCCGATCCGCCGCCCTAGCGGCCCCGGCCCCTGCTCCTACGGCCCCCACGCCTACTCCTACGAGCAGCCCAGCCGCCGAGCCGCCCAGCAACCGAGCAGCCCAGCCGCTGAGCCGCCGAGCCGCCCAGCAACCGAGCCGCCCAGCCGCCGAGCCGCCCAGCAGCCGAGCCGCCCAGCAGCCGAGCCGCCCAGCCGCCGATACGCCCAGCAGCCGAGCCGCCCAGCAGCCGAGCCGCCCAGCCGCCGAGCCGCCCAGCAGCCGAGCCGCCCAGCAGCCGAGCAGCCGAGCCGCCCAGCAGCCGAGCCGCCCAGCCGTCGAGTCGCCGAGCCGCCCTGCAGCCGAGCCGCCCGAGCCGCCCTGTCCGGTAAGAGCAGCGCCTCGCTCACAGCACTGCCCTCACCCTACTGTTTGCACTGCTAGTCTACTGCTGTCATGGCTACCCCTAGTGTCCTCGCTTTTGACGCTGAGGGTCGGGCCATTGACTTTGAAGTCTGGATAGATGACCTGCAGCTTTTCTTACAGTGCGATAGGGCAGACGGCCTCTCCCTCTTTGACCTCACTTCTGGTGCCTCTCCTGCCCCCGCTGCTGATGCTGACGCCACTGTTCGCTCACAGTGGGCCACGCGCGATGCTGCTGCACGTCTTGCTGTGCGTCGCCACCTACCTACCTCTGAGCGTGCGCACTTTAGCCAGTACAAGAGTGCTCAGACCTTGTACGAC